TATGGTTTAATTGATTTAAAATTTTAATTCGATTACAAACAGTGTTATCATTCATTCACATATATCTTCCAGATTGTTATTAATTACAAAAAAAAAAAAAAAAAAAAGAAAAAAAAAGGGGAAAAAAGAAAGCTTGAACAGACAAATTTGAGTTTTAGGCAATAAAAGGTTCATTTGCTTATTGTAACATAAATTTCCCACATAATTTTCGCATAATTCGATGAAATTTTAACAGTTTTATATTAGAAAGCTTAGTTTTACGAAAAATTTTGATGCAAATGTTGCATTTTCCAGAATGTTAACCCGGGAAAGCCAATACGACAGGAAATTCTTCAACCATAATTTCTCATATCAAAAAAAAAGCTATCACAATTGTCAATGATTATTGATCTAAACTTTAAAAACCAATACATCAGGAAATTTTTCAACCCTAATTTCTCATATCAAAAAATAAAATTCTTATAATTGTCAAAGGTTATCATGAATATCATGAATCAATGATGACCTATGGTACATAAATACATTGTTTGAAATCTTTTGCTCCTCATTAACTTGGCTAATTTCAAATCATTTCGAGTATTTAACAATAATTGTTAGCAATTCAATGGTTATCTCTTATATGTTGTCACTGATATTGGCCATCCTTATTTCTTGGCCTTATTTCAGAAATCATATCCTTATTTGCCAAACAACATAAGACCTATTGTTGCTCATAAATGGATCAACTTGATGTTAGTTCCATTTGTGAAATTAAATTTGCTTTAATTATCATATTAGCCAAGTAATTAATGCTAAAACCTAACTAACTAACACCAACATAGTCCATGCAACTGATTGATGCAAAAGGAAAAATTTCCATTTAATTTTGTTGAGAAATGCAAAATTTAATTATATCCTAATAAAAATTAGTACCGGTCATGTTACTATTTACTTTTGTTATCTCAGGAATAATCCAAGACGAAATGATAATACGGTACATAAAAATACCGTCTATTTTATTAGCACCAGGTGAAAAATTCAAAATTTAGTCTGACATAAAGCCAGATATCCAATTTGAGATATTTGAAGTTGATTGTTATCATTCATAAAACCTATTTTTAGCAATTTTTCTGTTTCAACCATCATTTCATCATAATTAATTAATATGCTATTTGTGGAACAAAAAAAAAAAACTCTTTATTTCGTATATTTGCTAACTAAAAGTGTATTATTTGATTTATCAATTTATATTTCAATAAAAATGTAATAATGACAGGAATTATACGAAAATATTGATGAAAGCTTCACCGAGTTAGCAGTTTTGTTAACAGGGATAAAAAAAGAAAATGAATGGAGGATATAAATATATGAATAAAGATGAAAAAAATATACGTCGATAAGATGAAAGCATAATTGTAATTTGAATTAAAATTTGAAAATAAAATTTTTAACTTAATAAATTTCATTTATTGAGTCAAAAATTATAAATGCTTAGATCATTAATTTACAATTTAGACTGAAAATAGTGTATCTGATTATGATTTGTACATCAATGAAATGTAAGAATCAATTTACAATTTAAATATTCCTTTTTTTCCACTGAAAGTGTTAAATTTATTTTGCATTATCATTTTTTTTCCTTGATAAGTTAATCATTAGAAAAAAATGGGGAAAAGAGTGGAGAAAGAGAGAGAGAGAGCTTGTCACATGTATCAATGATTATCAATTAAATAATATCAACTGAATAAAAAATTGATGTCACTGAAATAGGAAAACAAAAAACCACTAGGGGAAAAAAGAAAAGGAGATAATTCAGTAATAACATCCCTATATTATTGGAGATAAATTAGCAATGATAAGCAAAAAAGCAAAAAAAAAAAACAATTTAAAGACAAAGATAATTTCCAATGTAATACAGACATAATAATATTTGGAAAAGAAGCAAAAACAATGGATATAACAATAACTTGACAATTAAAATATGGATAAAAATCTGAATAAAAAAAAAAACTTCAGCAAAATAAAAATATAAAGACGAGTAAAATTTGAATCATTGGTTTCTTTTCAAAAATATTTGATATATGAAAGTAAGAACTGCGTAGAGTAATACCACAATACTAAAATTTATATTTTCAAAAAATTTGTCAAATTAAGTTGCAGCTACAAATGGAAATATTAAAGCAACAATAAAATTATTTAATCGAGAAATGGAATACCGGAAATGTTTGATAATGTAAGTAATTTTTGAGAATGATCAGCACAAATACTCATCCATTTTACCGGGAAAATATACTGCATTTGCATAAATATAATTTCAATATCCATTTCAATTTACACTTAAATTTATTCATTTAAATTTAAATTTACTTTTTTCTTTCTTAACTTGCGATGAAAATATCAGTATAATTGGGAACAACTGAATAAATATTTGGAAAAAAAGTGGAAATAACTGAATAAATAAACAAAGGGAAAATCGCAGCTACGATAAAAGAATTGCACAAAAAACTCTTGAAATCGAATATGAATGGCAGCAGATCAGATCGTTCAATAAAACATTAAATCGATAAAATGATTGGAACTATAAAAAAATCATGTAAACGATTATTCCAAACCAATTATTCACTTAATCTATCTACTGCAATTGCTCTGATTGCTCATATCACTTGATCAGAGCAATGAACGATGCCAATAACTAATTAATCAAACTCGTCATTATATTTGACTTACGCTGATTGACCTACAATCACTAATAACAACTCAAGATTATAAAAGCTTTTTTGATATTATAACAGTCAAATACTCTTGCAGTAGAATTCGCAGACAAATGAATAGTTATAAATTATTACCTATTGGTCATCTATAAGATAATACATTGTTGCTTCTTAATAACGATAGGTATTAAAGTCGCCAAATGTTCCTCATATTAACCTAAATGTGTTATCCATATAAGCTATAAGCTGCATGCATTCCATGAATATTGTCTAATGATTAATTTGTTATGCTAGCAACAGCTGACTCAAATACCTCAACAAATATATAAAGTTTAAACATAAGCATCCATGCATGAAGACATCTTCTGCATTATGCCAACGTTTATAATGAAAAAAAGAACCGGTTCATCAATGATACTGTAATAAAACAGTGAAAGAAATAAAGCTTGTAAGAGTAACAAATGAAAACAAAAAATGAAATTAAATAAGAATACAGTAATATATATTAAAAGACCAATGAACCAATAACCATCAATGTTGTAAGGAATTCAAAAAAGATACATCGTCACATTTCTCTTTCACCTGTATTAGATAGTGAAGTTGCTGGTAATGGTACTACAGCATATGCATCAAAACCAGTACTACCCGAATTAAGACCACTGCTAGCTGTATTCGTTGTAGAATTTCGTGAAACAAGAGAAGAATTCTGAAAATTCTTTCTTTCTTTAATGCAATGCAAATCATAGAAATGATAAAGGAATTAACCAATATTTATGTTATTCAGTTCAAAATAATTCAAAATATTCTCTAAGATATAAAATTTTATTGAGTAATTTATGGAAGTCAAAAAATGATAATTTAAGCAAAATGAATGATCCTAATTGCTACTTTTTATCAGTGGACTTTATTCATCATCGCAAAAAAAAAAAAAAAAATATCACGCAGTGAAATGTAAACCAATAAGTTCAACTAAATCAATTCTCCGTTAAAAGTAATCAAAAGTAACAATAAAAGTTCATTCTACAGACTTTATGAAATAAAGATTAATCCTCCCAAATAAATAGAAAAATTCTCCACAAAATTAAAAGGAATTACGAGGGACTAACAACAAGTCAATCATGTAAATTCCTGACACTATGTAATTGACGTACTAGAAGATAAAAGTCGTAAAATGAGATATGCAATAATTCTAATCAAATCTTCTATTCGTTTCCTTTTCTCATTTGAACTAGAAAATTTCAGCAATTTGACTAAAATATGCAAAAATTTGATTTTGATGGAAATTTCACTTTAAAGTCTAACAATGTTAGTAATCTCTCGAGATTTCGTAAAATCACCAGTCCAAAGCAGTTTAAATTCTCGTCGAATGAGTGCAAATATAATAATGGGTCCTAATGTAAACGGTATCAAATAAATTAGAGCAGGTTGTGCAGTTTCCATCAACGTTAAAGCAATGAATGTTGCAATAAGACCAATTCCATAACCTGAAAAAATGGTCAGATTTAGGGATTCTCCTGTAAAATTCATTGTACTTTAAAAGGTTGTTTTTTTATCTCTAAAAAAAGAAGTGAAATGAATTTATTAGATCCACAGAAGCAGGAAAAAAACCTATACATGAGGTGGGAAAAGTAGAGTTCACAGAAGTTTGAAACTTTGAAAAGTAGAGTTCACAGAAGTTTGAAACTTTGAAAAAAAAAACACAGAACTAACCGATAATTGAAATAAATCCATAAAGATAACGTGTCCGAACAACGAAATCGACAGTGAAGCAAAAACAAATCAAATAACCTATTGAAAAGAAAAAAAAAAATGAATGGTCGATTCTTCTAGGAATTACAGTATATTACAAGCAATGAAATTTTTCACCGGTAGACTAACATACAATTGTGTTAGAATTAATTTATTGGATGATGCTATTATCTTTCCTAAGATTGTAGCTATGTCTGAAGTACAATTGTGCTATTCATACTCATTAAAGTCTAAGAAAAGAAGAAATGAATTCAGATGAAATTCTGGGAAATCTAAATCTATATTGATTTGACTAATACACTGTAAAAAAATAAATTTACTATCAATTAAACGTGTTCCACAGTACGTCCCATAGATAATGAGTCATTTTATTAATTATCATTTTATCCATTTTCATTTTATCCATGGTAAAGAAATTGCCCAAGTCAATTTAGAGGCAAATTTTAAACTAAAAAAAACTATCGTTATTAGTTCGCGGATAAATTTTCGGGTAAAAATTTGTCACTACCAAATTCTTTTTGGTACTAGTAACTAAAAAGCTTTCTAAATCAAAAATTTTGTGTTTAAAACACTAACCAGGTACTATAACATCACCCAATCCAAGAATTACTGGGTGAAATTCCTTTTCAACTTCTAAATCGGTGCATGAAATCATCGGATCGCTTAATCGTGGTACTTGGAAAAGCATCGGAAACTAGAAATATACCATATATTGAAAGACAGAATCCAACTTTTCCGAACTTTCCTAATCATTTCAACAACTCGAAAATTTCAAAATCCAATTTATTTATTCATTTTTGTTTCTGTTTTGTTTTGTTTTTGTTTGTTTTTTTCTTTTTGAATTTCCGAAGCTAAAGCAACTTTTTCTGGCATCTCGGTGTTAATTGGTGCAATAGGATAACCACCATTATTTTTTGAACAATCCGTTCCAGCTGCAACCTGCAAACAATAAGAACAAACAAAAAGTAGAATGACAAATTTGTGGAAAAAGAAACAAATACAACCGTAATTTACAGGTAGATTTGCTGAAGCAAATAAATTATGAATGATGAAAAAACAAGGGAGGAAGGATAAATTATATAACTAAGAATAACTTGCTCTACCTCAATCATCACAGAACATCCATTTTTTGTAAGAAAAGGGGTGATAAATACCATGAATAAATCATACACAAACATGCATGTCAGAAGAACTGTTAACCACTAAAAACATTTACTTAATAAAGGAAAAAATATTATGATTCAAATTAAATTTTATTAAGCATGTAATATGATCATGCTGGATGTCTCATTTCTTTTTTCAAGTTATTGAATATTTTGACTATGACTTACCTTATTACCAAAAAACCTACCTAGCTGATATTCTGATCTATTATAAAAACAAAAGGTAATAAAATTTATCTCTTGATAGCTATAATTCTTCGAAATTTAAATCAGAGGCAATAATTCCATATAATTCTTTTATTTTTTTTTTGCAGAATTTGAAAGTATTTTACCATCAAATTCGGGAAACGAATGCCTTTCAAAATATGAATGCAAACAGCAATGTTGATGAGATCAAGCAGTATAAATGCATATGGTTCACGTCGGAATACAAACCAGCTGATACAAAATGATGCTGCACCAATAAAAATCATTACAGACACCACAAGTGGTCGTTCGGTGCAACACTCGTAATTGAATAAATCACGCCGAAATATCGACTGTGTTATGTCATTCATCGAGACACATACCTTAAACATTTTTTTCACCAAAAGAAAATCATACTTTGCTAAAGAAAAGTGTCTTAAAAAAAAAGTGGTATTGAAAGAATATCAATAGAAAAAACTGTCTAAAAATTTTCAGCAATTATTCCAAGCCATGGATGATTTGACGAGTCTCACAAATATGCATAGAGAACCCCAGACATTATAAACCACCCAGCTCTTAAGCACCAAATATACTTCAACAGAGACCGTGAAATATTCGAATCCTAACTGAGAAGGTAACACATCGAGTTGGAATAGCTCTAAATCATCTAAGCAACATTTCCCATCAACCATTCAACTCTATGTCAAGCAATTAGTCTTTTAAAATGGCACATAAAGAAGCAACGAACTTGAATCAATCAAATAACTGAATAGAATTAAATACAAAAGTGATAAATATGGAAACAAACAAGATTTCTCAAGTAGCAAAGTATAAAACACAAACCATCAACCAAGCAAAAAACTGATTCAACTTTAACATCTACTACAACTATATTCAGTTATTAATAGTCACAAATATTAATAATCATAAAATTACCCGACAGTGGCCACATTTGCATACTGAGCCAAACAATGCTGTTAAACAACGATGAATACTGAATGTGCCAATGATTGCAAGTAATGTGTTAAAAATGCATACTGCAAAATTTGATATTATTACACAATTATTAATTCCTTCCTCCTCTCCTACTCATACTTGTTATTTTACTTACTTAATTTGAAGAGCTGAGAAAGTAAGCTTACAAGAATTCAAGGGTATTTATCAGTCCCTTTCCAAAAAAACCGTCGATTCCATGGAAATATATACCCATTGGAGTGCAAAATATGAAGCAGAAAAAACATGAAAAAAAAACTTCGTTCAATAAACAACTGCTTACAATGATAAAGATAATTTACTTACCCATAACACCGCGAAAATAGAAACCAAGCATTAAAACACCAACAACAACAAACATCACAATAATGATAAATAAGCAGTTTGTTGAAGCTGTCATGCGCTCATCATTCAGACAACTTCTTGATTTCTGTACATGACTTCCGCCAGTCGGAAACTGGTGAGACCCGTGCAAAGCACCAGTTTCTTCATATCTGAATAATGATCATTCTTATTTGAGGAACCTTAATGGATTCAACAATCCTTACTCTATAAACAGCACCAAGGAATCAGACATTGGTAAACAACCTCAGCATAGTAACCAGTATTCAGAAACTAATCTTAAGCAATAACCATTACCTTAGAAATAAGTTTATAATGATCAATAATTATCACTCAGCAAATAAGTACAATAAAATCAGTTATTAGCAAACTAAATTGGATCAATAATTAAATCTCACAAAATAATTTTATACAACTGCAAGCAACCTTAACATGATTATTAATCTTAAACGCACTATTAAACGACCTTAAAAATTAGCTTAATATTAATCCTAAAAATAATTAATTTATCAAAAAAAAAGATACACAAAACATCACACAACTTTGTAATTTGTATGAAAACAAAAGGAGAAAAAAAACTAACATTTTTCGAAGAGCAGCCCAGTAACCACCAACGGTAACACAAAATCCGGCTATAAACCAAACAATTAACATAGATATATCCCATCGAGAATTCATCGGTCTATAGAATTGCAGTAATAATTCTTGTCCACTTCGATCGCTGCTCAATTTCTAAAGCATGTTATGTCTCGGTTTGTAATCATTAAAAGATCTAACTGGTTACATCAAAACAGGAATATTGCGAGAGCATATTGAAAAAAAGAGATATTTTAATGAGCAATCTTTTACTATCTACCTTATCTCACGATAACTCTCTTATCCAAATCCTTTCAAACATTCAACTAATAACTAGTCTATTCCTTCATCAAAAACGTTAAAAATTTAATTATAAACTACCATTTGGTAGATAATTTATAAACCATATCATGTACGAGTTGTTGCATTGACCCGATTGGTCATTGGTCAACCATCATAGAAAAAACTAAGATTGCTTCAGAGTTTGGAATACAATGAATCATTCGCAATTCAGAGGGTAAGATAATTCTTAGAACTTAATATTACACCTATAGGATCCAAACACAATCCTCAAAAAAAAAGAATTACCAGCATTTCATTAAAGAATGTAGTTGTGTACATGAAAAATGTCGGCAGCTTAGTAGATTGATTGAAATCCGGATCGTAAAATTCAGAAAACTAGAAAATGAGTTTTCTTGTACAAAGACTATAAGAATTACCAAATATCTACCATAACTTCTAAGCTTTTATTCGTTTCCTTGGGTCCAAGAAAATGCCCGAAAAAATACAAAAATCTCAAACATAATTTCCCCTATTCAAATTGTGAGTAATTAACCAAATAATCTGCCCATTTGGTGACATATTTATGACCTTTATTAACGAGAATAATGGCAGCACTGGCATTTCTTGAAGCCAACTGGTTTACCTGAACAAAAATGAAAATATATAAAAATACAAATTTACATTATTAAAGTATCAAAATCGGCATGGCGAAAGAAAATCTTAAAGTAATCATAAAGATTTTAATAAAAATCATCAGCGCACTATTGTTACAGTTGCACAGAGCTCATAGTATCAGCCTTTTAATTATTTCATTCAGTTATATGCTAATTAACAGCCAACATATCAACACTAGCTTTTCAATAAATGCTTTCAAGAATACGGCCTAGTGATGCTACATTATGATAAAAGATTAAATTTTGCTGGAAATTCTTTTAAAATTATATCCATGAAAACAATGAAATCCTCCAAATAATGAATAGCTAATACTAGTGATTACAGTTGATCTAAATAAACTAAGCTCAAAATTAAAAATGCACTTACTTCATATTGTAAAGCTCCCTTAAAGCTTGCGTTTTTCATGACAAACGGCATTGCACAACGGCCATCTTCAATTTTCAGCCGATAATTCAATGCTACTGCTTGTTTCTCAAGTAGGACCGGTTTACCTTTGTTGCAAACATTAGTATTATTAACAATCCCACCCCACCAACCAAGTCGTAACACCTTCTGAAATAAATTCAGAAATTTTACAGCATTATTACTTGATATAGCATGAATAGATAATTCACATATAAAGTTATCTAATTTCACCTTTCGCAAAACCTGCAAATAAAATAGAATATGTAAAAGCAAATTTTCATTTAAAGTTAAGGAAAAGAAGGAAAAATCAAAATGAGGAAAATATCAATTTATTTTTTCGAACATATCCACTGCATTAACAAACGTAATAGCTCATTAATACATAAAGAACTAACGGCATTTTTGACATCATTTGCTATCTGCTGAGTTCGCCACTGCTCATAGTTAACACAAAATGTCTGCTCCTTTTGTGTAAATCTATTCCTGACAAATAGATAAGCATAACTTGAATCGTAATATCCACGTGCTTCCTCAAAACTCATCAGAATTTATTAATCACAATAATTGAAAAAATTTTAGAACTTTTCCAGCTAAACAAGGATGATTTCTTTTTTCCGAAAACATCGCATCAAATATTTTTTTGACATGACATATTTAGAAAAGATAGATTGCGCTATAATAAAAGATATTTCAGTCTTTCCTGTTGCAATATTTTTTCCACTTTTACTACTTTTACGAAGTTTTTACCTTTCTTTCGTTTTTTCTGCAAATGAAACAATCGACAGACAATGAATTTTAATCTTTGTACTTTTTTCGAACTCAAAATTTACGACGAAAAATTGCAATTATTTACGTAAATAAATTAATGCATCAAATGAGGAAGGACGGGAAAAGAAAGAATTGGAAAAATTACAAATTGTTTGTAAATTACAAAATCATTCATTACAAATTACTCGTACAACATCATTCATTTCTCAGAAAATTGACTGTAAAAGTCGAGAAGAAAAATGTACATCGACAAATCCTAATATCAAAAAAAGAACAAATATATGTCTAATATATTACTGCAATCAATTCACCTCATTATTATATCTTAATCATTGGTAATATATCTTTATATTATTTCACTCCATTCTATGAAAAAAATTTAAAAGCATTTCATTTCATTCTTTAAAATAAAATCAATAAGAAATATGAAAAAGAAAAAAGACACTTACAACTATACCATATCCATAAATGATGACAAAAATAATATTGCCAATGATATACTGCCGCATCATCCAGTCAATTAATATAATAATGAAATAAATTGATTGTAATCACCGAATTATCTGTAAAATATCAATTACTTCCTTTTATAAAAAAAAAGAAAAAGAAAATTAAAAAGGAAAAAGATGGGTAAGAAGATGAGATATTTGTTTGAACGGTAATGATAAGATAAAAAGGTAAAAAGGGAAAGAATGAGATGAGAGATAAAGGACAAATGATAAAGGACAAATGTATGTTGGGGAAAAAAGCGAAAAAAAAAGGACGATAAATTTGTTTGCCAATAATTATTGCTATTTAATGTTTAAAATCAATTCAAAATATTAATTATATCATTAATGCCAATTAATTTGCTCATCACTGATATTTAACTTTTCCCTGGAATAAGACAATTACAAAGTTTAGGGATTTTTCAAAATGAAAAAAAAATTGTGACACTTACAGATAATGTTGATAGATCGATAGCGAGGATTATTGAGCATATGATGTTCCAAATATATGAACACTTATGACGTATATGATAAGTTATAAAATATGTAGGAAATATGACGTGAGATGCACGTGAAATGGCGGAATCACGTTAATTAAGTAAGAGACAATGGAATATAATAATATAAGCACCTATAGAATATAAGAATGTAATATTTGCGTATACGCCATATTAATAAGCATACACGTGAAAATAATACGTAAAGCAATGCATAGTAAAAATGACACACGTAAATGAATAAAGTACGTAAACAAATAAATCATTATAAAATATACATATTATGCGACAATGTATGTAAATTATGTAAACGATGGGTGTTCAAAATAGGATAGATAAATGCTGGAAGAAAATAAGTTAGGTGAATAGATTATTTAAGATAATAAGCTACGTGAGAACTGTTCACACGAATATTTAATTTATATGAGAGGTTTGATTAAAAATGTCGCAATCGTCTTTCTACGTAATTTCCAAAATGTCATTATGACTTTTAAAATATAACATTGCTCCGCGTGATTTTTGTTATCATAATTGATACATTATTGCGATTAATATTATTCCAGTTAATTTACATGCCAAGCTAATAATAATAAATCATTCTTATCATAGCTAACATGATTACATATTACTGTTATGATCATGAACGTTATATTTAATTTCAAAATCTTTAATAAGTCTAGGAACGTGAAACAAATCACGCCTAACTTTCGTATTAAACGTTTATGTATTTTAAATATTCGGTACTGACTAATGTTAATTAACGCATATTGTATTTCGAGAAAATCATTTCTTTTGCATAATCAAAAACTAGCAGTATCCTTTGAACGTACGAATGACGAAGACATTTGCGTCGTGAACTTATAATTTGATTGCAAACTGTTAAAGGTCAACCAATGGTTAATTTAAATAAGAATAGATTTACTGATAGTGATATTGTTCTTTGTGAGTGGAACAAATAATACATCAATTTCGATTAGGATCATTTTTTTCATAATGGTATCAGAATTGTGATGTGTAACTTGTGTGTCAAAGACTTAGTGATAACATTTTCAGAGGAAAAACAGTAAAAGTGAGGGTGCTTAAATCTTTTTTTAATGTCATTCAATAAGGTAATGACAATTTTTGTACATTGTGCAAAATATATTTACACAATAAATATTTCGTTGTTAAAGTAGCAAAAAGGAAAAAGTAATTTTAACATGTCAAAAAGTAAAACATTGAACTATTTGTAGTTTTAGGTAAATGATATACAGTAAGGTGAAACAATAAATAAATACACAATCACAGTAATGATCAATACAATTTGCATATTCCTTTCAAGAGAGAATCATTCCAAAGTACTGGTATATATATATATATATATATATATATATAAGAAATAATTTCAAATGATGATTCGATACAATTGCATCCAATCAGATTCTTTTCTTTTTCTACATATTTATCAACAAATCACTGGAACAATCGTGTATATTTCTTTTGTAATCCAGAAATTATTTGCATAGGATAACAAATATAGATTCATATATTTCAAAAAGTTAATAAAATTCGATAAAGAATATCTTGCTAGAAATACTTCTTCATACTACTTCTATAACTGCTTACCTGAGGTAATATATGTGATGCTCTTTATTTTTTCCATATCTTATAAATTTACAATAACTTCATAAACAATAACTTCATGTTACATCGGAGAATCTTCTGATATATTTGCAAACAAAGACCATTTAGGCAGATAAAACATTAATAAACATTTATAAAGAATCCAGGGAATCCCCAGGTGTTCCAGGAATCACAAAGATATTTACAAATCCAAATCTTAGCCTGATAATTTATAGCACTTCCCAGGTTGCGCAAAACCACGACACCTTTTAAGTTGGGAAAAAAGAGAAATGTCGACTTCCATCAATTCCTGTCGCCCTTCATCCATCCTCTTTTTCGTGTATCTACACAGATAATCTTCCTTCTGCAAACATTTAACTTAGCGTAAAAAAAACTCAAAGGATAAGTTGAATCTATAACCAAGTCGAAGGTAATGCTAACTCAATAAATAATTTATTTGACAATGACTCATCCGCTACAATTCTCTTCCCTGCAAATCTAATCCAGTTACAGTCAGCCAAGACGGGAAATAACGGCATAATTCTTCAGTGTAGTTCCAGACACTATGTATTAAGGGAAGTTTCTTTGAATCATTTTGTAAATAACAACAACAGCAGTATCAACGGGAAGAGCAACATAGGCCTTTATTTTATTCAACAAGATGAAAAGCAGAATAACAGAAACAAGGGAAAAACAAACCACATTAAAGAGTGTCGTCAAATAATTGCCAATATACTAAAAGAGAAAATGAAGACTCCTCAAAAAACTTTATTATAAAGTTTCCTGAAACTCATGCAATACACATTAATTCTTAAACTTGCATACTTTATCAAGAATATAAAAAGAAAAAATACCTAACATTTACAACATATTCGTGCGTGACCGTGCCAATAGAGAGGATAAAGGCTGTTAAATGCTGAAAAATCCCACGAGTTTGATTTATTCCGCTTTAGGTGGCAAAATTCAGGAAAAAATAAAACTGAAGGATGAGCAACTTCAGGGTACAACAATGACGGTGACATAAAAAAAAGAAAAAGAGAAAAGAAAACACTAACACTTTGCAAAATCAAATCAGAACACATCTGATTCATAACAGTGATCATTGAAAAGCGAAAAAGCAATCACGGGAAGAGAAAAACGAAAGAGAACAAAACAATCGTATTTATTTTTAAATAGTGAATTACATTTTATCCAAGAAATTATCCAAGCCAGGTATTTGTTCCTTTAGACCTTTACGCTTACGAATTTCGGCCACAATTTGAGCTGGCTTTGTGTTCGGTTCCAGCGGATTACCCTGTAGCACTTGCCAATGATCAAAAACACACTGAGGGAATGCCTGGCCGCCCGTATTAGAACGCAGATCAGCCGTAAAGCCTGGAACAAGATATTTTATGGAACATCTTACATAACTCTCACACTTCTAAACTTATGTCCAAACAAACAAGAGCACTGAGAATTTAATCATCCATTGCTCCAAAGCCGTAATCTACTAGAAATCCAAACCAATTCAAGTCACCAACGTTTTCCATTCGATCAACCTCAACAATCACTTTTAAATGTTAGACTGAGAGAAAATATATCGCAAGAAACAAACCGAAAGACTCATTAACAGGCAAATACGCCTTAACAACGAACATAGGAGTACCAGCTACTTGTGATTCTTCAAATACATGTCCACGACGTCGATTCAAGACTCCATAAATACCTAAATTTGCTCATATTATTAAGAGAACCACTAAATAAAAAACATCCTGTTTTTTCCGGTACTCGCATTCTGCTTGTGGTACTATTAATAGCAAAGTAAATCAAGAAAGACTTTCCAGTGTCACGAAATGAGGGAATATATGACGAACATAGAATCAGCCTAGTGCATAAAACCTAGCGTCTAGTGCATAAAATGAGACTATTGGTTAAGGTGAGAGTGATCAAGACAACAATACCTCGTCGAATAGAGCAAAAACAGAAAATTTTTAAAAATAACCAACCTCCTACAGCATTTTCCGGACACTGAATTTCTACAAGATAAACAGGTTCCAACAAACGCGGTTCAGCGGTTAATACAGATGCATAAAAAACACGACGAGCTGTTGGAATAATTTGGCCACCACCTCTATGAATTGCATCAGCATGCAACGTTACATCATGTATATTGAAGCGAACACCTAAAATGTACGTGATGCATACGATCAAGTTCTCAGAAAAATTCAAAATACCTGAAAAACTATATTCTTAAAAATAACGCAGTAGACAGAAGGAGTATCAACCTCTCATATTTTCGTCACACAGGACACCTTCCTTCGTAGCCCACTGGAATCCAGCGACAACTGAATCCTTAATTTCATTTAAATACTGCACACCCTTCGTGACATCAACTAAAATATTTGCGCCAGTACCATCCGGACCGAAACACCAAATTTTCCTTGCTTCAGTGACATCATATTCATACTTTTCAGCCAATATTTTAGCACGTGCCTAAAAAACTTCAAAATTGGTTCTATCGAAATGAATATTAAACCAAATTAAAATCCATAATGTCGAAACGAAAAGACTTAAAATGTCCATCTCTCAAACACTAGTGTTCCATCTGAAAGTTGCACATTCCAGAACGTCTGCAATGCGTAAGGAACAATTTACCTTCATTTCATCACGGGCATTAATTTCACCCTTATCGATATCATCAGCGAGTCCATCAGGCATTGGCACTGCCTTAGCGAACAGACGGTTATGTTTGTTAGGCGATTTTGAAAGGCACAGCTGGTTTGATTCTTCGGTCACAGTCTCACGATATGAAACAACTGGATCAGACTTTTTAATTGGAATACAGGCATGGTCCTCTTCTAAATCTTTCAAGCAAATTTCCAAATGAAGTTCGCCGGCACCAGCAATAATATGCTCTCCCGATTCTTCGAATATGCATTGCACCATAGGATCGGATTTCGCTAGACGTTTCAGACCTTCGACCTGCAATTTACAAATATTGGAATTAAAATAAGTTACCAATTAAAGGGAAAAAGATTGGCTAAGGAAAAATGAAACAAATATAATGTCCGTCCGACTATTATTTGCGTCTTATTTTTTCGGAATGGGACACATTGCGATCCGTAGGTTTTGTCGGAAAACAAGGATTACACAGAAAATAAAAGCTGCCTTAAATAATTCGAAAGACCAAAGTGAATAATTACCAGTTTCGGCAAGTCGCCAGCATTCTTTGGTTCCACAGCAACACGCACAACAGGTGACACCGAAAATTTCATTACACGTAGATTATGGGCATCTTTGTATGTTGTTATCGTACCACCTTTCACAAGATACTGGTCAACGCCTACAAGACCGGCTATGTTACCAGATGGAATATCCTCGATAGGTTCCACATAACGGCCCATCATCAGGATTGTACGCTGAATGGTTTTCTCATACAAATCTTCCTTCTTTCCGGGCACATAATTTGGTCCCTGAATTCTTGCTTTCATTCCGGTTGCAACCTAAAGTATGGAAATGCTTTATTTATCTCGCAACATCTATATTCCAAATGAAACGTTTGTTGAACAGTAGAGTCGGTTGCAAAAATTTCAAAAAAAGAAAGTTTGAATGACATTTGCACTTATTTCCATCGGCCTCATGATTTATATATATATATAAAAAAAGAAAAAATTCCCGATTTTATATTTTATGACAAGGGGAGAGAAGCGATAAACTTACCTTTCCAGAGAAGACCCGCCCGAAAGCGTAAAAACGTCCTTTATCCGATGTCGGTACCATCTTTGAAACATACATCATTAATGGACCGTTAGGGTCACAATTCCTTATCGCAATAGCAGCTTCATCGTCATGTGGTCCCTCATACAACATTTCCATTCGATATTTTTGAGCGGTAACGGGTGAAGGCAAATGCATGCAAATCATCTGAAGCATCGTATCGCCAGCTGGCAACCACTGACGCATCATAACCTGCAAAACAAACATGCTATTTGCCTCAAAGTTATATCACTGAATTAGATAACTATCTCACACAAATGCATAATAAATTCTGTAACTGATGACAAGTGAAATAATTTAGGATTTTAGGAATAATTTAGGAGCCGGCTATAGTCCTAGCAACGACTGCACTCGAAATGACTAATATTGATTCTACATATCACCAACGCAGTTTAAACTACAGTTTCCATCCAGAATTCAATAGTAACCTTCATCAACGGTTTCCCCTCTAGATCTTTCTCATCGTTGCTAAGCTTGATACCAAGTTTTTCAATCAATTTTGCCGTTTCTTCTTTTTTGATATTCATTACAGCATCAAACACTTTGAAGATCGGATCAAGTACGAACTGCACAAAACCACGCTTGCTATCAGCATCTTGCGTTGATGTCCACTTCTTGGTCTTCATGTTAAAGAAACGATCACCCCAAAGATTACGCATGAGCTTTTCAACCTGCAACTTCAGTTATAAGCTTGTAGAACTGAAAATGTCATACTTTTTGAATGAATGGTATCCAATCATCACATACACTGGCTCAATTTAAGCAACTAAACCCCAAGTACCTGAACTCCAAATTTTTCAGCGTAGATTTCAGCGAACTGCTTTAACGTGAAGGCCCAACCATGTAAACCTGAACCAAAACCAACGTTACCAACAGCTGGATCAACCATGATTGGTCCCATTGGTCCATCATCATCACCATATGTAGCAATAATAACGTTAATATTCTCCACAATACGCTGAAATGTCTGGTAGAGCTCTTCAGCACCAAGCTGCAGCTCCAGTAGAGCACGGTCCATCTTGTTCATGAACAGAACAGGCTTAATACGTTCAGCAATAGCTTGCCGTAAAACTGTTTCCGTTTGCACACAGACACCTGAAATACCGACATGGCAATATTATTATTCCGGAAACTCACATGATGTTTCGCCTTGAAAATTATAGATTCGATGGACCGACAAATCGATAAGCTTTTGACACAAAAATATGACATGACAACTTTGTCAATAATTGTGACTTCAGATTAAAGTAGTAAAACAAATTTATTTGAATGAAACTAACGAGTAATGCAAGGTTATCTAAACCATCCAGCTTCTCAAGTAACGATAAATGTTTCATAACAGAAAAATCTGAGAGCCAAGAATGTGCTGCCAGAAACCAAATCATGTTTTTATTTAGCGTTTCTCGTAATATACTTGGCTATGTTAGAAATTATACAACCAAGAGAAAGTAGAGTAAACGCACTATCAGTCAGTTAAAACAACTTTTACAATTGGTAACTTACCGGAAACGCAATCGACGACAACCAAGGCTCCATCAGTGACACGCAGTGCAGCAGTTACCTGAAGTGAAAAAGAGGAAAAACGATAAAGCAACAGAAACCCAATTTTATATGCGACTACTCAGTCGCAAGTTCGGTTTTATTTTTAGAAAACACCTTCCAGAAACATCAAGCAAAACAGAAAATGTAAAAAATATATAAATCAAAACATGCATGCAACGATAAGTCCTAAAACCTACTTCGCTGGAAAAATCGACGTGGCCAGGAGAATCGATCAAGTTGATCAAAAAACCAGGAAGTTTCTTTTGCTCGCCGTTAACGACATTAACCTCCACCTGATTTTCGCCTTTAATGAAAGCAAGATCTCTTGCCTCCAACTCGAAGAAAAGGGAAATTGCGCTGCAACATTTTTCACAGTTAAATTATTTTTCTACCCGAAATAAATTTATTTCTTTCCAATCAAGGATCAAATTAAAAATAATAGAGGTTAGCCACAGCACAACAAAAGGCTTACGTTGACTTAATTGTAATGCAGCGTTCCTGCTCATCCTTACGCGTATCCGTAAAACGTGTTTCGCCCGCTTTTGCTCCCGCTATAATACCCGCTTTGGACACCAGAGAATCCGTTAGCGTTGATTTACCTTTAAAACAACGCTTCGGTTATTATATGAGAATTCACCTACAATTTACTAAAACACTTTATTTGGTATTTCCTTGTAATTTATGGGGAAAATGAGTGCAAAAGAAAATGAATTACGGCAACTACAATATATTATGAATGGTGACGAAATTTCGAAAAAGCTTTTCGAAAATTTCTTTTTAAAATTATTTCCACAATGACCAGCAGCTTCGCTCAAAATGATATCGCACTTCTGATGACTTTTTGAAGTGCATACTTAAAATCAATTTAAAGCATCCCTTCCAAACCCTAAATTCCCGCTTCACTAGATATCTCTTTCGAAATCATCGCTTCAGTGCAACCAATATGTAAAAGAGGTGGGCACAGCCTACATAAAAAATAACAAACCATGATCGACGTGAGCAATAACGGACATATTCCGAATATTTTTTTTGTGGTCCATTATACCACGAATTTCCTCGATCGTAAAGTTCACCTAAATCATTACAGAAATTAGTAGTTCGGATTAATTATTTAGCTAAAGTTTAGCTGTTTTATTAATATTGATTAATTTCTTAGTACTGCTTAATGAATTAGTTCTATTTTAATTTACGGCATACATTACCATGAAATCTTACCATTGCTTTGTTTTACTTCACACCGTTTTCGAGAGATGTATTGTACAGAAAGCGGAACAGTTGCTCAACTCTTGGAAAACGTGAGGAATGTGTATGTGCGTTATGCAATAACGCCAATTTAGATGAGACCAACAAACAATCTTGCTGATGGCATAATAGCCCCTTCATGAAAACTACTAAAATTTTCAAGCAAAGCTTCAGTTACTGAACGAAATCTCGAGAATTGTGAAATTTTTACAACTTATACTCTATTCTGACCTTATCAGAGGCTAATAGCCTTCCCTTTAAAACTTGAGATCAAGTTAATCCATTCAGATTAAGTTATCCAGTCTACAGCAAACAATTGACTTTCCAGTAGAAAGAAAAACGTAACTAAAGATGCTCACGATGAAAAAAAGTTCGAAATCAGCCTTCTACAAGTTTACCTATTCTCTAAAGCCAAATAAAGGAACCGCAAACGTCGGGGAAAGGAGACGGAAAAGTTAAATTTCAAATACTCACAGAAAAGGAATGCCAAGTGGAAATCAATAAATACTCAGAAACATACCAAACAAAATGCTAGAGAAAGTTAACAAATTTAAACAAACAAATTTGAGAGACACCTGTTAAAATCAAAAAATTCAAAAGAAGGATCAAGATGAGAATAGCCTGCAAAGTTGAAGAAGGATTCTGGTAAGCTAGCAACGTAAGGATACTAAAAAAGCCGAGAATTCGAAACAAAAAAAGGAACCAATTATACATTGAAAAGGAGTAATAAATAGATTCAAAGGTTTAACAAGCAAAAACATATATATGTATATATGTATGATGACAGAAGAAGCCAGAAAAAGGCAATTCGGAAAATCGGAATCGGAAAACTAACCATTATGATAGGATGTTCCTGCTTCAGTTACGAACAAATGCAACCACTCTCAACCAACCGATCACGCCAATTCTCACGCAATACCAAATGCAAGCAACAAAAAATCTATACCGTAATCCTGTTCAACAATTTTTCGTTGCTATAAGAATTTTTCCGCATTTCAATTACGGTAGCACAAACCAACTATTGCAACTAAATATTATATTCAAAAATTCTCGTCTCAAGAATTTTTTCCCTTTGGTCTTAAGACGAGAATTTACGTTGCAACTGAAAAGGAACACTTTTCAAAAATATCCCGCCAATTTTCGATGAAACGCGCAACGATCAATGGGATTTGTGCGCGAATGACGTTGACCTCTGTTTGTGTTCTTTGGATGGACTGTCGTGTTTGACGTATTTGACGTACTTCTCATCTTCAGCGTGAAGTTTAGACTTATTTTGTATGAGTATAGAGTATGGTTAAAGGCGTAACAATTTTGTTAAACCTTTGTAGTAGTGATGTTTAGTAGTACATCATTGATCACTGTTGATGTCAAAAATGTTCCATATAGTTGAGTATTAGCCAGAACTTGTACGAATTATTATAATGAAAATAATGATAGTTAATTATAATAAGTAACAATAATGTCAATAATAATAATACGATAATAAGTAGTAGTAGTAGTAGTAGTACCAATAGTAATTAATAACAATGATAATGGTAGTAACAATAATAATAATGATAATAGTAATAATAATAAGGATAATAATGATAATAATGATAATAATATTAATAATAATAATAATAATAATAATAATAATAATAATAATAATAATAATAATAATAATAATAAAATAATAATAATAATAATAATAATAATAA